GCTGCATAGAGAAGCATCTCTATCCATACTTCCTTTATTATCTTCCATCTAAGCCATATATGTTGCGCGTTGAGATCTCTGACTAGATTTGATGCAGGTTGCTGAAGTTCATCCTCTGGGGTACTGTCCATTTATAAAACAAAGTATAATATAAAAAATAATAAACTTAATATTTATACATATAAATAAGATTTGTAATAAACATGGACGAACCTGATATTGGATTGTTGTTGCTCACGACCGTCATCCCTCTTCAACAATAATGTGAAAGCATGATCCATGTTTAATGCCCCGGAGAAAAGTACTTTAAGTTTGTCACAACAAGCATCCAACCAGAAACTAGAACTGTGCGCAGGCAATAGCATAGCAGGATGCCTGACCAACAGATACATCATATAATCTGATAAATATTTGCTGCTTTTCCTATCTTCAATCAAGACATTGGGGTATGCCCCCTGGACATCTTGATAGTAACAAATACTGTCACCAGGTGCCAGACTATAATGCTGGTATCAAAGTCCAATTTAATGCTCTTTGTCAGTGAATCACCTAATCGTGTCTCAAATTGATGAAGAAACTTTCCCCTCCTGCTTGGTTCGAAGAATTCATCTGTAAAGAAGGAATCTAGACAGTTTTGATAATCCTCTCTTAGTTTTAAACAGCTTGGAACCTCCACAAATTTAGTACTCATGAACCTATGCCATTTTGCAAGAATAGGACTACTACAGTTCTTTACTAGTAAGGCATAAACTTTATCATTCTTGTTATTCCAATAATAATCCAACAAATTAAATTGTCCCATCTTACCGGACCACTTCTTGTGTTGAGGAAACAAGAAATGGAGGTATTGCAAGATGAAGCGGAGAATTTTGTGGACCAAAGGATTGTCATGAAATAACACCGGAGGTACTGCCCAATGTGAAGAGACCATTGAGTACATTGCCCAAAGTTCAAGTGCAACAGCTCCTACCAACAAGCTGACTGTTATGTAAATATCAACTCTTGATAAATGGAACATCGGCTTGTTTATGATGCTGATCAGGAAGAGCAGCAGAACTACAAAGGAGCAAGTGAAGCTGCAGAGGCGCAAGAAGCATCCTTTCTTGGTATAAATCAGACCAGCCTTGGTGTAAACGACATCAAATATGAACCCCAATTTTGCAGTAGCTACATCGAAATGAGGAGCTTCCTTTTCCTCGGCCGCTTTAAACAACTCTTGCAGAGTTGACTTTGTCAAGGAAGGTGTATCTCCTACGTGATCTGCAGTAAATGGCCCCATGATTCTAGGATTTAGTCAATCTTCATTTATGTACTGTATCATATATATTGTGTCCATATCAGTTAAGTTTCCATATCAGTTAAGCTTCTGCGTGAATACCCTCTGTATATATATTGATTACAAGACAGCAATGAGCAAGAACTTAACTTGGCTTTTTATAATCTTGAGCCTAAAAGACTTGACCATGTCCCTGGATAAGAATTGTCCACCTATATTTTTCTCCATATATTTTTGAATCTTTACTTCTGTGGTCTTTAGATACAACTTATTGCAGAGGTAATCATTGACATCTGGTCTCATGATTGAAAACAATAAATATGCTAGCAGCACTGTTTTTGAATGTGGATTTTCTCGTAGGAGGAATTCAAGGAACACACCAGGTGAATCATCAAACGTTAGCTTAGCAGGATCATTAAAGACGGCAATGATGGGATCTGTTTTCTTAGAGCTAATCCTCTCAAGACACAAAATTCTCTCTATATATTTAAGGATTCCAGCAAAAATGAGAGGAAGGTTCAAAAAGGAAAGCCAGGAACGGGTCCATGACAAATAAATGACATAAACTGCGAAGAAGGACCGAAGAATTAAAGTAAGGATGTGTCTGTTCCAAAGCTGGTTATCTTCAAAAGAGTAGGCAGTGATTGTGTCAGGGCCCCCGAGGTGCAGTATAAGTAAGGGAGCCCATAGTGCTCTTAGGACATTGGTGGTGGGAGATTCTGCATGAGAATTGGAAAGCTTACCAAGAGCAGCAATGGCCATCCAATCCGCAGTTATGTAGGTAACCCAGAGAATCATTCTATTGAAAGACCTAACACTATGCTTTCTACGTTTGCCTAAGACAAAGAGGGCAATTTGGAAGAGCAAGCTCAGAAGAACCATTCCCCGCAGATCCCATGCATTCCATATCTTCCTCAACAAATTTGAAAATGAGCTCACGATTGATGATGCCTTCCAACTGTTTATATACATGCATAAACGCCTATCAATGAAACATATATATTGATACAAATTGACATGAATTAAAACGTTTATAATTGAAATTTGTTATAACCCTGTCCTCATATGCTTAAGACTAAGAGTTTTAATCCTTAATGGAATTTATCAAGGACCTAATTGAATAATCTAAAAGCTGGAAAATGGTAAACAAAATCGATCCAAACTTAAAGATAAGGCAAGAATGTTATACAATGGAACTGAACATATAAATAGACATTTGAATGTTGAAATCTGTTGCTACATCCCAACGCATGTGAGTTACCTAAGTGTTTACATGTTTTGCTATGAGATGCAAACATATTATATCTGATATGCGTCATGGAAATTGTGCTTTGTTATGTATGTTGAATAACATGCAGTACGCTGTTATGAAATGCAAGCATGTAGAAATCATGAATTTGATACTTAGTATGCAAATGCACGCATGTTAATTGATTGTTTTCAAGTCTAGTACATATTCTACTAGCCATTTGATCTGTGTGTCAATCTCATCATGCAAATTAGGCATGCTAATCTGTCTTATGTCATGGATGTTTCTATAAGTCCTAGAAAGGATGTTTTAGTATCTAAGCATACAAGAGTACTCTCTCCATTTCAAAAAAATTATTGTTAATTTGTTTTTGAATTTGTTTTGAATTAATTATTATTTTTTAATTTTTAAAATAGATAAATATTTTTTACTATTTTAATCTCATTATTATTGATCAATTCACTTTTATTAGTCATTCAATAATAAAAAATCTCTCTTTACCTTTTGTTTCTTTTATAAAAATATTGTAAATAAGTATAAATATTATTTTAAAATCTTAAATTTCGGAAAGATATAAAAAAATAACATTTGTTTTGAAAAAGAGGAAGTAAATGTTTGTGAAACACTAGATGCAGTTGGAATATGCTATGACTAGCTCTGGCATTATTGTGAGGGCACACACTATTTGAACTTCATGGCCTACCTATAAACTAGTATATAAATTTTAATTACTTCTTTATGAGTTATGAGCAATGCTACGTGCAGTCTCCAACATACACTCTCTTGAGCACTCGCTGCTCTATTGTTGACATGTGGCAATATGATTGACGTTTCAATCAGCGACCGGTTTCAAACTGGTTACTTTTTCTCTTCCTACTTCTACTTTCTTTCCATTTACATTTAGCTTTTATTAGCTGTATTTATTATAATTTTTTAGTTAATATTATTAAAAATAAAATATATTTTTTTATTCTTTTTTATATAAATTAATAAAAAAATGTAATAAATGCACCCTAACTTGTTTCATAAGAGCACTAACGAGGAAATTTTTAAATTTATTCTTAGGTTTATCTAAATGGTCCTTTTAAGGATGTATCAATTCTATAGTTTTTTAATAATTTGTATATAAAATACAAAAGTTAATTTTATTTTTAACATTAATAATATGTGCAAGATTTTAATTAATTAATTAATAAAACTAAATTTAAATTTCATTTTTCTATAATAGTTAAAAAAAGTTATGTGATTAATATATTATTAACTTGTGCATTAAGGACATAAAATAAAAAAAAATCCTTTATTCTTTATTAAGTTTAACAAGAAAACTAATATTTTATGAATTTTTCCACTATGGGTTATAGATTTAGGTGTATTAATTACACTTTTTGCTTACTTTCTATTTTTTTATAGTATATCAAAAGTTAGGTAGCCTTGTAGAGGTTTGAACTCCTGATTTTGATCCCTAATTAAGCTTTTTAATCTAATGAATATCAATTTGGCTAAGCTATTATTAGTTAATAAATGGGGACAATGGGTACCATGAGAACTTTCTTAGTAGGTCACTCATTATAATTTTAGTCTCATCCAAACAGGTTTAACTACAAAGTTCTAATGGGATTTACTGCACTAGTGTTAGTATGATCACACCCTTTTGCTTACTTTCTTAATTAAGTTTAGCATCCTAAATTTCTAATTTGAAGTGTTTAAAATTTAAATTGTGTTGTCTATTTTTCATTTTTAAAACATTACTTAATGTGCTTATTTTTATTTTATTTTTTTATTATATGTAGTTCTTGTTTAATATTTTTATTTGATAAAAAAATTTCAATTATTATTTATATAATATATATGTTAAATTTCCTCTAAATTTTATATTAAAAAAGTCAAAAAATAAACTACAACAGCTAAAAATAAATGAAAAGAGTATAAGAATCAGAGAACAAAAATTTAAGACCAATGATTTAGCATAAATTATAATATTAAATAAACTGATATATATAATATTATGAGTCTAAATAAAATAAAAAAATAAATTATCAAATAATATAATATTTATCTTTTAATTGTCACATGTCACTATTAGAGCCGCGTGGGCCGGAGAGAATGCAAATGGGCGACTGCCCTTAGCACTGCTTTATGAGTTACATGTTTTGCTACACGGTTCTATGAGTGTTCCATTTGTAAAATTATATTTTACACCTATCTGTATCGTGTCTTAATCTTACACTAAGTCCTATCTGCTTCTGAGTTGTAAAGTTATGTCTCTTCAAAGTTATGAATTGCTGTCTATAAGATCTGTTATGGTACATTTTTTATGAACAGCCTCTGCATGATTAACTCTTGTTTAATCACTAGAGGTTTAGCAAGATTATGATATGATATGAACTTATAACTAACTAAATAATTCCATTTTTTAACTTGACTAACGGTTTGTTATTATAACCCCGTCCTTGTTAATATTTCCATCCGTTTTAGATCTGTCTAAAGTAGGAGAAGCTAGCTAGGACATCTGGAAGTCCAAGTTGCAAGCAGTTATGCCTAACCTAGCTCAAACTTGTACCTATCAAAACTGTGCTGGCTCATGAGTTAATATATATATTCCTATTCTGTTGGAATCAAGTGTAATCTGGGTTGTAAAGATCTCTATACTCTACAAAGACTTGATTTCACTACTCATGCTATTGACTTGACTATAATATTCTGTTCCTAGTATTTTCATTGAGCTTCCTGTGCAATCTCAATATGATCAAACCTTTGGTTTAGTACGATATCTTTACTAAGTGTTTAACAAGATATGCCTTAGTTTTCTCGCACCTATTTGTATAGTCAATTTAAAAAATGCATATGCACCATTGTTTTCAAATCTTGTAATGATCAGGTTATATAAATACTATCCTAAGATGCATGCCTACACATCAAAAATGAGGTTTGAGTTAATCTCAAACCTTACCTAGATAACCTTGGGGATATCTGAGATGAGAGTGTAACAATATTATTAAAATTTACTGGACTTACCTTCCAAACATTGCTTATCATAAGCTTTATGGCTTGGCAATCTTCAATATACAATTTGGACAATTCTTCCTTTTCTGGCTTATAAAAATTTGACTCCAATGATGTTATTATATATAGACATACTCAAAAATGGAGGTCCAGTTCTTTGAAGTGCATCCCACTATACTTATGATTCCCTTAAAGTTAACATCAAACTTAATTTTTTAGTTACATATTCTCATTCTTTGCTTCAACATATGCAAAGACAATTAAAGTGTAGAAAAGTCGGCAACTGGTGATCTTTCTTTTGATCCTCCTATTTCTTACCCAAGATATCAACTTTTATTCGATTGTGTAAACACATGCATGGGTTACTGCATAAGCGGCTTTTAATATTTTTATAGAAATAAGGGAACCGGAACAAAAAGGAGTTTTCTCAGGTTGGTATTAGAACTAACAGAATTCAAATACATTCCAAACAGAAAACCACAAATCTTGTAGCAACAACTTCTTTTAAGATTCTAAGATTGGCATTTTCAAATATAATTTACATGGTGCTATGTTAACTGTTGAAGTAGGTACCCTTGTTAGTGAGCTAACAATGTAAAGAACAAAGAGTCTCACATAAAAAGTAGGAAAAGAATGAATTAATTAATGGCTTAAATTTGTTAAGATTCATAAAATTAATAGATTTTTTTTTTTCGGGTTCCATGATTGTGTCAAATCATGTGTTAGGTCATTATGAGCCGACTAGCAACCATTTGGCGTCAAATAATTTAAGAACACTATATGAAAAGAGTCCCATATTCATCAGACTGGGAGAAGCCCCAAAGTTAGGTAGCCTTCCCTAATTCAATAATTAGTTTTGTGAAGGCGGATAAAAAAACATGTTTTGTGGAGTCCAGTCTAGACTAAACATTTCTAATGTAAAAAAAATACTAACGGTTTCAATTTCAATTGGGTTAAAAAAAGAGAAAAGAAAAAAAATATTCAATTCTTAAAATTATGGCAACAAGAAGAGTCAATAAAAAAAAAAAAGAGAGTATAGAAAAAGATTCAATCCTTAAAATTAGAGCAACAAGAAGAGTCAATGATACATTATTTTGAAGATCAAGCAAGTACCCTTCAATCCAATATTCTTTTCTTATTGGCAAAGCAATTGGCATGCATTTGTTAAACTTCTACTTTAATTTTAGTCATGTGCATATATATGTTGAAGTAAAGAATGAGAATCTAGGTAACAATGATGTTAAAACTTCTAATGATAAGAAATGATAAGAAAGGAATAAATTAATAATTAAAAAAAGAAAAAAGAGAAAAGAGAAAAAGGATATATAGAGTGCCTTTTGCACTTTGATATTACTAAAATTGTTCTTAAAAAAAAGGGGAATAAAGAACCCTAGTTGTCACCTCTCTTCTCTTGCCTTGATTTTTTTCCCTTTGTATTTTCTTCTCCTTCCTAATCACTGTTACCCCTCTCCCCCCCTTAATTGTTAGGGTGGATGGCTAAACGGAGAGTTCTTTTATCTCTTGTGGAGGTTTCTTCCTCTTTTTTGAGGGTTTTTGCCTTGGCTTTCTTAATACTTTTTGTCATGATTTGCTCCTCAGAGAAGGTTGGCAACATGATTGTAATATTAATTGGATTCAAATAAGTTGTGCTTATTTCAGCTATTAAAGTTGGGGATAGGGCTCCTAGCAAAATTTTTTGACCCAACCAATTTATTTTCTATTTAGATGGATTATGTTAGAATGTAGCTTAATTACTAAATCTCTAGTTTGGGTTTGGTTGCCATATTCATAGGCATTAGATTATTTGATTTTGCATTTTTATTCAATTTACAAGTGTAATTTTTTTTTTTTTATCTTGGGTTGTACAATAAGAATCAACCCTCTCCTGTTTTTTAACTCACCTTACTCACATGCCATGCAACTTGAACTTTTAAAAGATTACCACTGAACTATTTAAATCATTGGCATATTACCCAATTCGGTTGGTGCTTAACTTTTATAGTTTTCATATATCAATGAAATTCTACTTCTCATAAAAAAGTGAATAAAGCACTTCATCTCCTAAAAAATAATAGATATTTTTTAATTAAAATTTATCTTAGAATAATAGTTCTTTTTATATTTTAAGAGAGACAAATATTTTTTTTCGTACCTTATTCTTATGATTTTCTCTTAATTTTAATTATCCTTCATATCATGAAAAAGAGTTTTTTTTTTTTTTTTTTTTTAATTTTGATTTTCATTTTAAAAGATAAAATAAGTAGAAATAAAAATTATTCTTAAATCTTTTTAAAAATAAAATAAAATAATCTGTTGTTTTAGGATAAAGGGAGCACTACTGCAGGAATGGGATTTCCGAACCGAAATATCGGTCCGGATATATAGTAAATCGGTCTGAATATATATATCCGGACTGATATTGGTCCTTATAGTTGATCTGAAAAAACCTGGTACAAATAAGTCTAATATCCAGACCGATGTAGAATCGGTTCGTATATATATACTATACGGACCGAAATCGGTCCGGATATTTCAGTAAGAAATATAAAT